GAATGTTCTGACTGTCCATAAACTGGACTCGAATAGTTTTTGGTTAATGGAATTGACAAACTATGAATTTTAAGCTGAATATTAAGAATCGTGTTTGGAATTAATGAGACCAATTAGCCTGCCTCAATTGATTTTGGAACGATTTTGTGTTGGTCACGTTACTCTATTACTGAGGGTTTCGCAGGTTCTTTAAATCAGAAAAGTTTAGTGGTGCGAGCGACCCTTCCGAAACCACGATGATGCAAGGATCGATTCCCAGAGGAAACAAGACTGCTCGTATCAGGGCGAAGCCCCGAATGTTCCGACAGCCTTTTAAGGTTTATGGAGCAGCAGTAAAAACAGTAAAAAATTCAATGAAATAAAATAAAAACGAAAATTTGTTTTTGAAATTTTTATGAAAATCATCCCCCCACATGCCATATAAAACAGAAAAAGATAGATTTTGTTCCTTGTAACAAATCAATTATGGCAAATAAGTTTCGTTCAACCAATTTGGAACGATTTATAAGACGGATTAAATCTCCGCTTACGCGTTAATAGCGCGAATTATATCGCGCGTTAATTGTCCCAAATTGGTCAAAATGGCAATCTTTAAACCCTCATAACTTTACAAAAAAAGATCCCAGGTGAAATATCTTTTCATATTTAAGCTCAAAATAACAATACATTTTGAATGATATAATAAATTCTGTCAAAAATGGTTAGTTAAAAAGTCGAAATTTGTCTGAAGAAAAAAAACCCACCCCGAGCACAAATATTCCATTACTTTCGTATCGAAAGTCGGAACAATAATTTGAGAACTAGTCTGAATTAAAAAAACACCCCTAGTATATTCATTTCTTACTTTTTGCGGAACAACTTTGAGCCATCTAAACGTGATCTACTTCAATTTTTTTATGTTATTACTGCTGCTCCATAAACCTTAAAAGGCAGTCGGAACATTCAGGGCTTCGCCCTGATACGAGCAGTCTTGTTTGTTTTTAGTCTGGTAAAAAATTGGTCTGCTAAAAACCAGTCTGTTAAAAAACCTAGCACCGAGTTCTATCAACCATTGGTTCAGTTCAACAAAATATAAGAGAAAATATTATTTTTCACTTTCATTTCTACCCTGTGATAGAACTATACGCTCCTCTGAAATCTGCTCTATATTCTTAACATATTATTTTGATACCAAACGGATATGGCACTTAGTTAACTTATGGGTGGCTTGGGGCAAAAAATAGGGTTTCAATCAGGGAATAAACTCGTTTTTGCTATTTTCAAGTAAAAATTATCACTATTGCAAAAATTATCAGCAATTCCATAAATATCTCAATATTTTTACAGTGCTGCGAAAAATAGCTTTAATTTTATATCTGATCAGAGTTAAAGCGGAAATGTACACAATCAGATCCATAACTGGAGCTTTCGACTGAAACCTATCAATAAATTGACGATTGAAATAACGTTAATACGAAATACCAATGATATTAACAAATTTTTGTTAAATGTTTTTGTGGTACCTAATTTTGCGAGGAAAAAATAGTCAACAACTGTTTTTTGAGATACCTGATTTTCCGTAGAAAAAACTTAAAATCCGCCAGAAGAAACCTTTATTTCCTACTTCGTAGTCGGAATAATGAAAAGATACATATTTAGAAAAGAAAAATACTAAGCTTTAGTTATTTATGTTCACGTAACTCGACATCCAGATAATTAATTCTGGTTCACACGATACAATATAGATTGAATTTACCAATTTTATTTTTAAACGCAATTTTTTGACAACTTATATGTTACAAGGGCTATTCCCAAATTTTTTTGAATATATATTTATGCGCTCTTGATCTTAAAAAATTGAATCCTAGTAATTTTCTAAAAACGGATTAGTAGCGAAAACAATTAGTGGCTGTATATACGTAAAAATTAACTGTTTTTTTGGTCATGACTTAGAAATTGCTCAAAATGCCATTATTCATTTGAAAAAATCGCCTTCAACGCTGAAAACCTTGTTTCACACAGATGCGAAATTGCACTTCCCAAGCACGAGGCAAGGGCAAACATATGACCAATAACGCTACTGGGAAAAACTGAATGAGTAAAAATTTGAAAAGTGACGCACGCCAATTATGAGTCTACATAATTGTAAAGTGACGCATTGGCAATACCAGTCAATTTGAAAAAAAATACCAACTAACATGCCTCAATTTATAGAGCGGACGCATTTTAGCTACGAAAAAGCTCATTACGAAAAAGCTCATTAAAAACATTCGACCCTGACCAGGTTCGAAACCCCTACAGATCCATGATACCTTGAAGCTAAAATGCTATTTAAAATAGAATAGTCTGTGGTAATATCCTTAGCATTGGCTGTACGTAACAACTGGTTATTGATCAAAATGAACAATATTTGCGACTTAGGTTGGAAAAAAAGAGTTCATACTATAACACAAGCTTTGCTTGTGTTAATGAACTTTTGTTATACGCCACCGTTTTCATAACGATTATAATCACATAGCTGCTATAATATTACGTTATAACAGAAATGTTATAGGACAATACATAAAAATGAAACCAACCTCCAAGTTTTATCGCTGGAGTCACTTTTGCAGCTGCCGTGTCCGCCGCAAATGTCGAAATGTTGTTCACAGACATCCAGTTTCTTTTCACATTTTGCTCCTTCGAATCCATCTTTGCATGTACATTTAGCTTGTCCTCTTTCCTGGTAACAAACGCCTGAGTTGTTACAGGATTCTTTTGTACAGACATTTTCATCAGAAACGATCTTGTCGCAAAGTTTTCCCATCGTGCCTGGTAAACATATACATTTGGGTGATCCATCTGAAAGCTGGTAGCATCTTTCAACATGGTTGCATTGGTTTTTCTGTGATTCAGTACACGGATTGAAGCTTTCACAATGGTCCCCGAAAGTTCCGTCGTTGCAACTGCATTCTGGGTAAGCGGCTACAGTATAGCCGGTGATTTCTAGAGAGGACGTTGATTCGTCGGGGATGTTAACGAGAACCATTTGACATGCTGCCTGATGGTGACAGTAGGACTTGTTGCGATAGCAGGTGTCTTCGAATTGACACAAAGGTCCAAAGAAACCGGCCGAACATCTAAAATATTCCAAGGTCATTTTTCAAACTCAATTGAGTCTTTATTACATCAGATTTTAAAATGTAATTTTCTGCGAACGCGCTTGCAATTCAACAAAATTTCACAGACGAATTGTTTAGATGGTTGATTAACCCTAACTTTTCTTGATGTGAACGGTCAAAAAATAAGGTTTATCTATTCCACATCCATTCAAATATTATTACAATAGAAAAACCCTTAATTTTTCGTTAGACTTATCTTTATTTTCTGTTGGAAAATATACGAAAGTTACTCCCTATGTTACCCCATTTCCCTACAGAAGAATGTTCAAGTTCATTATCCGACCGGACGGAACGTATCCTTAATTTACAGGCCGACGCCTCCTCAATTATAACCGGAAACGCCCCTTAAATTGTTCTGATTGAATCGATTAATCCATCGGAAATATGTGGCTTTTCCTCTATTTCTGCATAATTGATGAACATTATTACGTTCACTAATTTTACGCTATTTAGCTGACTTTTTAAGTTCGTAGTTTAACAACACACAATAAGAGTCAAGAATCCGCCCGCGGTCCGTCCCCAGCAAGGCTCTTTTAAAACTCTAGGAGCTAGTTACGTGCATCTCTGACTAGCAAAGATATTCAGTTGCCGTGGGCATAGAATCTCTCCCTACCCTGATGAATTAAATAAAACCTTTTTTCACATCATTTATTTCGAAGTTCACATCAGTTAAACCAAATTGGGCGCCATCAAAAATGAGCTTACCTTATCAAAGTTCACGAAATTTGGTCAGCAAATAGGAAAATCTCGGAACATGAAAAACTCATAGGGTACTTCATATGATATCAAAATTGAACAAAAGCAAAAAAGAAACGTGGTTTGAAAATTTGGATTTTCTTGTTAGTCAGCTTTTTAAAAATTCCTTAATTCGCTGTAAAATATATGCCGTTAATTGAACCAAAACAGGTCTAAAACTGATAGAAAACAAAAAAGTACATACACTTGTTTCATTTCAACCTGCGAAACTTAGAAATTTCAATCAGGGCGGATCTAGGATTTTATCACACATGAAGTTTTTGATTCAAAACAAATTTTTGGCCATTTAAGCCTAGCTTATCACCCGAAGATTATAAGAAGCGTTTTAACTGTGAAAGAAAATTTGAGCGGTGTTTGAAAATTTCATTCACAGTTCAAATCTTTATTTTTATCATCAGGTGATAAGTGAGGCTTATCTAGTAAACTTAATTTAGAATAAAAAAAATGATAAATTGAGCGGAAGCTATTTTATTGCAAATTTTAAGCAATTAACATTTTTGTTTATATAACGATATAGTTTGTGAATTATTATAGTTTTAAAAAATAGCATGAAATAAATTCAGCAACGTAACACAGTTTTATGAAATGATTCAAATCCATTACACCGCTAATGAATCTGTATCAAAACATGTATAACAATTTAGGCAGCTGAAAACTTTGAAGCCAAGTGTTCTATTCCAAAAAGCACCAGTTATAAAAATCAGATTTTATTGTTCCGACTTTCAAAGAAATTGACAGAATATTTGTACTCGGGGACGTTTTTTTTCCAGGATTTTGACGGGACTTTTTAGATCATAGTAAAAATATTGTTACCCTGAGCTCAAATCGAAGAAGATAATTCACTTGAGATCATTTTTCATTAAGTTATGGGGGTTTAAACATTGCCCATTGAGGACAATTAATGAGCGATATTTTTTGTGCTTCTAACTCGTAAACGAAAATATAATTCCTCATAAAAATAGTTTCAAACTGAACTGAGGTATGCTATGCGAAATATATCGTTTTTTACTTTAAAAAGCGTGTGGGGGATGATTCTCAAAAAAAAATCAAATTTAAATTCTTTCTTTGTTGAATTTTTAAAAATTTTTCATGAAATATTACTCCATGTACCTTGAAAGGCAATTGGAACATTCCGGGCTTTGCTTTTTCAGGGGATCGCAGTCGGAACATTCAACCTTGCTAATTTTGTGTGGTTTTTTGCTTGTTTTAGATTAACAATCCTGATAATTGATACACATAAAAAAATACATAAATAGTAACGATTTCAACGAAAGGTGTAGAAATAATCTAATTGTTTTACTTTACGGAGAAGAAAAGCATACATTTTGTGTAAAAATTTGGTACTAATATGCTCGGCTGGTCCTAGAAAAAGCTTTTATGATAAACAGGCTCTGCACGTAGTAATTTGACAACTAATTTGTATATAAATTACTGATTTCAATCTCGCAAAATGATTTCAATTCGAAAATTTTTAGATTTCACATTGTAGTTACTATCGTTAAAATCAAGCAAAATGCTCATTTAACTTAACTTCAAATTAAAAGCCATTATTGTGTTACTTACCTATATTCAAAACTCATTTTTGGCAAACTTTTCAAAACATTTTTTAACTTAAAATGGTGAAACTGAGGTTATACGAACTCAGAAAATATGAAACGTTTGAAAACATTCTGGGACATGTTTCTTAAAGACGGTGGCAATCAATAAGCAAAATGGTCTGAGAGCAGAAAAACAGAAATATCAACTTTTATAAACTAATAGGTAAATTAATTATCAGAAATGTCAATAATACCAACGCAACGAACATTAATTGCATAATTTAAGTAATTTAATCAAGAATTTTAAAAAATTGAATAAAATAATGAAATTAGACAATTCGTGCATAAATTGTTCGTTTTCTTGGAATTTTTTACGATTCCATTAATTGTTTTATCAATTAGCCCGTATAAACCAATATAAGTCAACATTTTTCTGTTTTTCAGCTCTTGGACACATTCTGCACTTGGAACATTCTGCTTATTGCTATGCCTCCCTTAAGACCATCTTATAAATGTTAAACAATTTGAGAGCTCTAGGTGCCGTATTCTCAATGGACCTGGTTAATTTTAAGGAACCAACCTATCATAATAGCACCAAATATTTCGTTCTTTTATTGAGCAGCATTTACTCGCCCCTTTCTATTTTGCTTACAAAAACTAACAGGGTTGAGATAAAAAACGATTTTTACGCAAAAACTCTTAACGGCCTTTTGCAAATAATAAAATTAATTGACAGGTTCTAATGTTTTCAAAGCTTGTTAATCTAGTCTGATCTGGTGCTGCTTTGAACAAATTGAGCCAGTATTCACCAGAGTCTTTTAGAGCAAATGATTCACGTTGAAAATTTCTTTAGAAATACTGAGATTTTTTTAACTCTGGTCTGTGTTGAGTTAGTTAGGACCAGCGGTGGAACTTTTCAGTAATTTTTGAAATCAAATTGACATTGATTTTAGAAGCTTATGTATGAATATTAACGGGTATTGTGTTTGGGTAAAGTCACTGGCTGGTGATGGGCAAGATAAAAGAACCGAGTCATCAATCATAATGGAACTGGTGACTTTTCGAGACTCCGTCATGGACTTCGCTACTGACGCTACTCAGTTTTCTAATTGAATACTTCAGTGAAACAAGGATAGCCGGCTACTGCGCAAGTAGCACGGAATGTTCCGATCATAGTCTTAAAAAATAAGAAAAAAAGTATTTCGAACGGGTTTTTCTCGACAAAGAAATTTTTCTCAAAAATTTTTCATGTCGTTCGAATCACGACTGAAAGATCTTGAATATGATATATCACTCAACTCAACCCAATGATTTTTCCTGTTTGATAAAAACAGATATTATGAAAATGTATTGGATCGGGTTTTTTAATTTTTTTTTAAATTTATTTTATTTTTTGGACGCTTTGGAATTTTTTTTACTATTTCAAAAATAAGTCCTCCCATGGGGAAGGTTTTTGATAAGTATTGTCAAGTCAAGGTCTCCTTGACGTGTGCCGGACATCAAGCCGACGGGACTTCAAGCCGAAACGTATAATGAGAGACTTTAAGCCGAACATTTTGTCAAAAACTTGAGAAATATGATTAGTTTGAAAACTGTTTCGAAAAATTTCCCAATTTCTTCGGCTTGCTTAACAAATTATTGGCTTTTTCATAATTTTTTCGCCTCTAATTGATGTTTAGCAAAATTAAAAATTATAATATAGTTAATGGGCTTTTTCATGTGTATAACTTATGCATTTCAAAATCCGGCTGTTCTAAAAATCTTATGCCCCTCGTGAGTGGTGCATTGTTATTAAGAACGCTTATGGTGAACTAAACTTGCCTAATTTTTGAAAAATAACCTTTTTATTGATAAAAAAATTAGTGTTTTTAGGTGCTTCTAATGTTTAAGATTCGGCTTGAAGTCCCTTCGGCTTCAAGTCACGTCGGCTTGTTGTCCTAGACCCCCCTGTTTGATGGGTGCCGGACATCAAGCCGACGGGACTTCAAGCCGAATCGTAAAATTAGGGACTTCAAGCCGAAAATTTTCTCATTAAGTCATGAAATAAGGTTATTTTGAAAACTTTTTTAAAAGAATTTCTCAATTTCATGATCTTTATTCGGTAATTAATAGCGTTTTCACGAAATTTAAAGCTCCAAATGAAGTTTAGGAAAAGTGAAAAAAAACCCCTTGACATGTAAAAAAACTGAAAAAGCAGTCAAGTCGTTGGTCGCCTAATACGAGCAACTTTGTTATCTTCGAATCTGCTGTATAATTTTTGGTACCTGAAAGTTAGTCTTTGTTTAGTGAAATAGATCTTTTCCTTTGGCTGAATACAAATTTTTTCACAGCTTATCAGGCCTTGTTTTTAGCATGAGCCCTGTTTGATGGGTGCCGGACATCAAGCCGACGGGACTTCAAGCCGAATCGTAAAATTAGGGACTTCAAGCCGAAAATTTTCTCATTAAGCCATGAAATAAGGTTATTTTGAAAACTTTTTTAAAAGAATTTCTCAATTTCATGATCTTTATTCGGTAATTAATAGCGTTTTCACGAAATTTAAAGCTCCAAATGAAGTTTAGGAAAAGTGAAAAATAAAACACGGTTGAAGGTAATTTTCTTTTTTATAATTTATGCATTTCAAAAAACGGCTGATATTATTAACTTATGCCAATCCTAAGTAATTCATTGTCATAAATAACGCTTATTATGGACTAAATTAGCCTGAAATTTTGAAAAGAAACGTTTTACAGATGAAAAAATAATGATTTGAGGTGCTTGTATTCTAAAATTCTAAAATCAGGGACTTCAAGCCGAATAGTTCTTTATAAAGTCGTGAAATATGATTAATTTGAAAATTTTTTTGAAAAATTTCTGAATTTCATGATCTTCCTTTACTAGTTATCGGCGTTTTCATAAAATTTAAGCCTTCAAAGGATGTTTCGGAAAGTTGGAAAGTAAAACATGCTTGAAGGCATTTTTCATGTTTATAATTTATGCATTTCAAAAACTGGCTGATGTTATAAACGGATGCCAATCACAAACGGTGCATTGTCATGAAAAACGCTTATCATGGACTAAACTTGCCAAAAATTTTGAAAAGCAACGTTTTACAGATGATAAAATTGTGTTTTGAGGTGCCTGTAAAGTTTTAATTTCGGCTTCAAGTCCCTTCGGCTTGAAGTCCCGTCGGCTTGTTGTCCTAGACCCCTGTTTGATATGCCTATCTTCGGTACTACTATGATAGACAGGTCCCGCATGCATTTCGCATGTTATAATTTTGAAAACTAATTTGTGTATAAATTATTCATTTCAAAAATCTTGCAAAATATGTTCAGCCAGAAACTTTTCAGATTGAAAATTGTAATCACTTTTGTTGATATAGAAATTTGCTCGCTCTACTTTATTTTACGGTTTAACAACCATATAATTGGGTTGATTTATTTGTCATCAAAACCCACTATTGGCTTTTTTTAAATTTTCAACCTTAATTGGTGAGGGGGAGGTTTTAAGAGGTAACAAAACATGAAATTTGTTTGAAAATATACTGCGACATCTTTCTGAAAGGCTTAATCATAATTATTAAACAATTTGAGAGCTATAGGTGTCTTATTCTCAAGGGACCTGGTTATTGTCAAGCGACCACTCTATCATAGTAGTACCCTAACTTCTTTAATCCTAAAATTTTTGATATTGCAAACCAACCCCCCCCCCTCCCCCACAATTCTGGTTGCCAAAATTTTTCCAAAGGGTCCCCCTTAGCTATAACTTTATGATATCCATTTTTCGCTGAACATCCTCATTATTGTTCTAAAAGAGCCTTTGGCGCCAACACGACTAATTTTTTTACAAAATAGGGTCTTTATACTACTTTAGAAAAGCTCGGAAAATCAAATTGGTTTTAAAAAAAAAAGGTCGGCAAATTTTTCGAAACCTCCCTCTAGAAAAATTTCGGAGCACGGCCACTGAACCCTACTATTGTAATTTTACCCCAATTTAAATACCCAGTGCTGAAAACACCTCTACACTTCAATTCTCAAAATAACGAAATCAAATTTTGTTTTTCGCCTTTCATAATCAATAGTCAATCTTCTGACCAAAACCTTAGCTCTTTTAAGACTACTTACTCGCAAACTTTGTGAGTTGGCGCATCTTTAGAGTTCCTTTCCCGTACCTGGTCGACAACAAAGCACAGTCCGTTTCCATTGCAGTGTACAGGCGAACATGAGGCTAGAAAAAACACCAGTTGGTAATTTATTGTTTTTTTTAACTTTTGTTGTTTATTCAGGATTGTTTGATAGGAAATGTGTATGTTAGTATGTGTATCTGAACAACTGTGTAGCTCTGATTATATTCAATGATAGTCAATAAAATTGCAGGAAAAAGTTTATTTTGGCTATCCGGGAAAGGTACACTCGTCCAAAAATTATCAAAGGTCCAATATCCGAAAATACCCGAAACTGAATTTTTTTCGATATTTAGACGTTCCGGCCTTCTACCGGCCGAAACGAGAGTAAAAATTGATTGATTCTGAGTGTAAATGTATTCTTCAAAAAGACAATAAAGACGAATTAAGAGCAAACTATTCTCCAATTTCGAATGGATTCAACTAAACTATGGCAAAACTATTGGACCACTACACAATGACATGATTAGCTTTCGAAAACTCCAAAAGTGACTCACCAAGATAATTGGCTGATTTGTTAGCTATAGGCGTGTACTCGGGCAGATAATTCAGATGTCTCTTTAGAACCCAATCCTCAAGATCTTTTTCTATGTCTCCAGAAACACCGCCAATCCCGACAACCACGATTAAGCCCAGTAACACGAATTTCATCATCGAAGTGCGTAATTTTAGGACTGCTTCATTTTTCTGATGTTGATTTTCTGTAGTTTTTTTGGCGTGTGACCTTGAATATTGATGTTAGAAAAGTCCAGGGACCAAACTGGCTAATATGTAGTAATGCAGAAAATGAGGTTGAGTTCAATTTCTGGGTAAAAATTGGCAAATAGTATTTAATGAAATGGATTTCAACACTCGAACCCTTGCTTGTAAAAAAAAATTGAGAAGTTGTAGAAATGCTATTTCAAGTTCGATTCTCCGATTAATTGACTTTCCGATTAAGTTATAAATGAGTTGCACAAATTAACACAAAGAAACTGTGTAATTCAATGGTTTTTGAGAAATTTGTTAAAGTGTTATAAAGAGATAGTTTACAGAGATAAGTTATTGGCCAATCAGAATTGAGAATTTAGGAACCTGACTCTGATTGCTGAAATTTGTGGTTTTAACAAATCCCTCGAATGTCAAGCCGTCGGGTGCCGGACATCAAGCCGACGGGACTTCAAGCCGAATTGTAAAATTAGGGACTTCAAGCCGAATAGTTCCTTATAAAGTCGTGAAATATGAATAATTTGAAAACTTTTTTGAAGAATTTCTGAATTTCATGATCTTTCTTCACTAGTTATTGGCGTTTGTATATAATTTAAGCCTCCAAATGATGTTTTGGAAAGTTGGAAAGTAAAACATGATGATAAGGCATTTTTCATGATTATAATTTATGCATTTCAAGAACCGGCTGATGTTATCAACGGATGCCAATCACAAGTGGTGCATTGTCTTGTCATGAATAACGTTTATTATGGACTAAACTTGCCAACATTTTTGAAAAGGTTCGTTTTACAGATGATAAAAAAGCGTTTTGAGGTGCTTGTAAAGTTTTAATTTCGGCTTGAAGTCCCTTCGGCTTGAAGTCCCGTCGATACCATGGTATCTTACACTAGTTATTATTGGCGTTTGTATATAATTTAAGCCTCCAAATGATGTTTTGGAAAGTTGGAAAGTAAAACATGATGATAATGCATTTTTCATGATTATAATTTAAGTTAAACAAATTTTTCTTGGAGATTTTTTTGATTTGAACCTTGTTGTTTTTTGATTTTCTTTCGGCCCAATCATCTGAAATCTGTTTGAGGAACGTTTTTGAGACCTAACACCAACGCCTCGAATTCTTCTGGTTTGGACAAAATATATTTAGAGACAAAGGGCTGCTATTATGGTATCTTACAACAGCTCAGAGCGCATAGATATTTCTCTAACTTTTCGAAAGTTTATCAATAAGTTAACTATTTTTCAAATATCAAATTAACACAGCAAACGAAACTGGATAACAATCACGCAAAATGGTCAAATGGTATTTTAATTAAGCTGTAACTTCGTAAAAATTAACAAAACAATAATAAATATAGTATCAAATAATTACAAATAAATAAATTGAATTTCACTTAAAGAACCCGCACGCAGAATTACACGCATCTCATAAAAGGACTGAAATTGCAATCCATAGCTGATAAAAATTCAATCATTAGCACACGCAATATAGTTAGCATGGAATGAATGGTTAATTTCACGTGAGATAATTTGTGAAAAGTAATAACTAATAATGGAATATATATTATCTACGAATTGAGCATGTATTAACAAAATGGACTAAAATACTTCTCAATATAAAAGATATCATTCTATTGTAGGAAATGGGTACGGCTCTCAATTGAAATTCCTTCCCTTGCAATAATCTTGAAAGTTTTTAAGACCCGCTCTTAAAACTGCTAACTAAACTTTATACGGCCAAAGGGTCCTCCCCTTAAGCACTATTTAGCGACATCCATTTTGGTCGACGAATCCTAAAAGTGTACTAAAGGCGCCTAAGGTGCCAATATGCACAAAATTTGAGAATTTCAAGAACTTATAGTCAGTAGCGGATTGGGGGGGTTCAGGGAGGGTGGAACTTACCTCACGGATTCGACCCCTCGCAATCCAAAGGGTCTCCACTTTGATTATTGCACCACATCTATTTTTAGCTCTTCGAACTTAAGATCTTTCTAGCGGCGAAAAAATAATTTTTTGGCCTGTTTTTGACACTTCCTCTGAGGTGCAAATTGAATCTCAAAAAAGGGTCTTGATAGTGTTTTTGCTTTGGGAGAGATCGGAAACTGAAATTGGTCGAGCAATTTAGAAAAAATCTTGATAAATGTTTTTTTTTTGAGAAAACCGACCTTCTCCACCAGCGAAAATCCCAGATCAGCTTTTGAAGCTTTTTTTTCAGGGTCCCCATTTTTTACTATTTTGAGGTTTTGGCTGACTGACCCTGAAGTTTTTCTAAAGGCGCCTTCGGCGCTAAAATATACCAATGTTTAGGGAGCGCGCGCTCCCTAAAAATTTTCCAAAAAGTTTTTCCAAAAAGTGCCTAAAAAAGCCTTTTTTAAACTACTTTTTCAAAAATTTGCCTGCAGGGCAGAAAATTTGGTAATAATGGGTTCTTTCTGGTGTTTTGGGAGAGTTCGGGAAATCAATTTGGTGGACCTAAATGAAAAATTCAATAAAATTTTTGAACATTTAAAAAAAAATCCGTTTCTCCCTTCAGAAAATCTTAGATCCGCCCCTGTGACTGACAGTTGTTTTCAAAGTGGCTGGATATTTTTTTTCTAGAAATCGTAGAGTGGGCGGGTTACGCGAAAGGGATTTGTTTCCTTTTTATTGCCTAATCTTCTGTTTCTAGAAATGAGAAATGACGACCAGAATAGATTTTAGTTTCATCATCATAACGCTTGAATATAGCAAAGGAATTTGAAATACAAATCAAAATCAGTTCTTATGTGGAAAACACAATTTTTTTCGAAGCAATTTGCATCCGATAATGGATAACCTAATATATTTGTTCAAAATTTTGTTTGACAGCCAAAAAGCCTGACCAATGCGAGCTTCGAACCTGCGACCATTTTGGTGCGACTAAATTGCTGTAGCTGTAACTTTTTTGAATCATCACCTCATTTTGGATACAACTTCTTTAGCCGACAAACAATCACCTCCAAGCCAACCTCTAACTTAAACTAAAGAACCTCCAGGTCAAAATTAAGCAAACCGATAAATATTGACAACTGAAATAAACAGAGTCTCAATATTACAACCCTCCCCTATCAAGCAGTACAAAGATCAACAACATTGTCCCAACTTAGACCTCAAAAACCTCTCAGGCAAAAATAATAATTTAGCCTAAAGAACAAAATGGACATGATCATTTAGCCTACGGTAGGAATATCTCTTAGATACACCAATCACAAAAAAAAACTAGGTAGACTCTTGAGAGCCCTCCAAACTTTCCTTTTATCAAAAATTGCCGAAATCCAACCCATTTGTCAAAAAACCAAGAAATAAACCGACCACACTCGAATTTAGCTTTAAAAAAAAATAAAAAACACTCGACGAAGTGAATCATATCTTCAAATTATTTTTTCTCGAACAGCCAACAACTTTCAAAACATCCTTTCAAACTTTTTTTCAATCCTTCCAATTTTTTTTCAAATTTTGTATAATCTTCATATCCGATACTCAGTAATATTCATCCTCTCCCTGATAACTTTTTGCAATTTGTTTCATCATTTTTCTTTCCCTAGCCCAAACCTACGTTAGTTTTTCCAAAATCTTTGACCACTTCCTCAGGTACGATATTTCAAATAACTATCTAAATGTTTCAACATCTATTCAGAAAAACAGATGTTTTTCTGCTTTTTATAATACTTCTCACATTTTCATAATACTTCTCGACATCCCTCATAATGACAATATGCAAATGTATAAAAAAAGGTATCACAATTTTCGCATTAGCAACAATACTTTTAACCCTTTTCATTCAAGAATATTGCAAAAAACACAAAATTTCCTCATAAATAAAAATTGTTTTCCAAACTTTCCAAAATTGCTAATCAACAACCCCCACATCACTCCCCACCGACAACGTCCAAAAACCCTCCAACAACACCAACAAATAATCAAACAAATAACTTCCAATCATCAACACGCTTCTATTTTCAAGACAACCCATACACATTTGAAGAAAAACACGTACGATTGTCCGAACCACTACAACCAGTAATCAGCCAAGCATCTCTAAGCGAACCACAAAACGAACCAGTATATAAGATATACCCCCCTCCAACAAGATCTAAATAGAGCAAGACACCAAAGTCAAAACCAAAACACGCTCGAAATAAACAGACAATTATTCATCCAAGACGAAATAGAAATTTGCAAACTACCAGAGTTTAATTCAACATACCTCATTCACCAAGAGCAAACCCTATAGACCTCTCCAAAAGCACAATTCAAAGTACTCCCCAGACCTCAACACAACAAAACACATCGAATATCCCCCCAGATTATTGAGGCTGAACCCCTACATCTGAACAAATCCGAGAAAATCCTTTCAACCCCCCAACCACTATAGAACATCTCCCATTTTGGATGAGACAAGCTTTTACTCAAGGCGAACCATATTTGGTGAACGACCCAATAGACGTTTCATCTGACACAACTTTTTCACTACCAGAAACTCGTTGACTCCCTTCAACCCCTTTCATAACTCAAATTCAACAAACACAATTTCCAACCAATTTTCCCCAAATCTCGACGCCAGTTATAGAGAAAATTCAGCAAGTAACATACACCTACGATTAGACTGGAAAACATTCGTAGCACCCCCTCCATTATTTGGACAACATCAGGAAAGCAACAGGTTACACAACGGGGCACTAAACAGATTACACTATCGACAAGATATCCACAAAGATATACATGAACATAACATAAAAATACTTACACAAGATAATCTGACAAAAAAATTTGAAATCACAGTAAGACTAAACAAAACAATTCATCATTCCTCATTCCTACCCCACCCGAATATAGCAGCTCAATCTTTACCTCCCCTTTTATAACCACAGAAGTTTTCTACAAATACGATAGAAACACAAAATAGACAATTGGATATATCACCTTTTATAATCCATACTCAGGACTATCATACACATGTATCTTCTATAGATACTAATTTTTCAGACTCTTTTATTTTTCAATTTCTCAAAACCCGATCATAGCAATCCTTCACTAGGAACAGGACCCCAGGATTTACAAAACACACATTAAGAGACTAAATCATGAAAGGTTTTACCAAAGTTTTATCAAAAGACTCAGCCCTGACAATCGTAAAAATGAACTTGAACGATTAAAAATTACATCAAACGAAGGCACAAACAGGAA